ACATATAAAAATCTCAATTATAATTATTAAATAATCAAATAACTAAAAGAAGGTGTCAAAGACAGATATTTAGATATTTTGATGAATGATTAAAATAATTTAACATAAAACGGGGTTATTTATTAAATTTTCTTAAATATCAAGATATTACGTAATATAAAATATTAGTGATGTAATAAATTAACAATTTACATTTTATTAAAAATATGATAATACAAAAATAAGTGTATCTTAGTATAAAAAAATAGTTGTAGTTATACAACAGATATATCAATAAATACATAAATGGTATATTTTCGTATGATGTTTAAGAATTCAAATCTAAATTTTATTAAAGTATTTTCAAGATTTTATAAAGATATATTTATAAAATTAATTATAAGAATACAAAAGAAATTCTAAAATTATTTCATGTTTAAATAAATTAATTTAAATAATTAAAGACCAAATCTACAGTTTATTTTTATCGTAATATGTAATCAAGATTTAATGAAACTAAGATAATGAATAAAAGTGAAATGAAAACTATCTAACTTGTCTAAAATTTAATAGTAATTTTTTTATCTTATTATAAATACAGATTATTAATGTTATAACAACAGTTAATACAATCTAAGAAATAGATGAAGAAGAATATGGCAAAGAAGTCAGAGTTTTTCTATAAATAATTTGAATAAATTTGTTTTTTTATCTTTTGATGATCTCAATAGTATTTATTTTTAATTAGAATTTTTATAAAAAGAAGTAATTTTTATAAATCTTAAGAAAAGTAGAAAAAATTATTTTAAAATTAAATTTTCTTTTGATTTTTTTATTATTATAATTCTGACTTCAAAGAAAAAAAATTCTTAAATTGTTATATTGTTCACTTAAAACAACTTTTTAAATAATTATTGATTTATAAAATTTTAATGTTTTGACATGATTTTGATTTATGACTCCAATTTACTATTTTTAACTAAAGATTATTTCTTAAATTATTTTTACTCTTAAAATTATAAATATAAATAAACTAAATGTTAATGTTAATTTTATAATTAAAAAACTTTATTATTTATTTTATATTATTTTATAATTTACATTTAAGTCTAATTCTTTTATAAAATAAATTTTATTTTTCAACCATGAATTTTTCGAAAATTTTCTTTGAAGTAAATATTTGCCTTGGTTGTGTCTTAGTAAGTAATAATTCACAGATAATTTTAGAAGAAGATGATGAAATTAAACAAATAATTGAAGAATTTGTAAAATCAAAGAATTTCTTGAAAAAGAATGTACCTTTGGTTTTAAGATTACTTGAACCTAAATACAAAAATCTATCTATAGATGAAATTAATTCAATAGTAAACCAGTTAAATATTAATTTTAAGGAAGAACAAATTAATAGTAAAGATTATTTAGATAAATCTGGTTGTATTGATGACTTTAACATCTATATTATTATAAAGCTTAATGATAAATTAGAGAGATTTGGTAAATTGATAATAAGAAAAGTTAAAAATAATAATCAAGTTGAATTAGATTGTTCAAGGTGTTCATCTTTTCAATCTACAAGATGTATTTTTGAATTTTTTGATTCGTTAAATAAAAATCAAAAGGATATTAAACTTTCTAATGGTGAATCTCTGTTAGAAAATTATATGGATTTTTTGTCAATGAAGATTTTTTTAGATAAGATAATTTGTGAGTATAATTTGTATAGATGTCTTATTATTCTAATAATTGAAGTTAAAGAAAACATATTGAGTTCGGATATTTTTAATAGTAAAAATGTAATATCTCCTTCTGAATTTGATGAAATATATTCTTCTGAGGTAAAAGAATCTTTAATTAAAAATTTTTTAAATGATTTTTCTCGAGGTGCTACAAAAATAATGAATATTGAAGAGAAAGAAAAAATTAAAAAATTTTTAAATGAGTTTTCGAAATACATTGTAGAAATGATTGTTTTAATCGAAAAATATAATTATCTTTACAACAGTTTGACTCATTTTACAATCGATTCTTGTTTCTTTAAATATATTGATGATGATGATGATTTAAGAAAAGAAATTAAACAACTAAATATAAGGTTATCAGATTTTCTTTTTATAAAAAGTAAAATATATGAAAGAAGGTTAAATTTTTACATAAGAATGTTTCATTATTATGCTTTAAAAGATTATATTCCATTCTCTTATCTTAGTAATAATGATAGTGTTTTAGGAAATTATGAAGACATAATAAACGACCGGGATACTACCGAAGATGATGTAATGTTAATTTCTAGTGATATTCTGAGTGAATATCAAAATATTAGTATTATTTTAGTCAACCCTTCATTAACAAGATATTTATTAAATGAATTTCTTTTTTAATTTAATATTAGAATTTTTTGTAAATTTAAATATTTTTAATAAATAAAGTCTTAAGAAACTATATTATTATCATACTCAATATAATAAATTGTATATTCATTGTTGTTATTTATATTGTTAAATATTTTTAGTGTTATTTATATAAAAAATGTGTTATTTGTTTAAATTAAAATTTATTTAGGGGTCTTTTTAAATATTTACAAATAAATAGACTGATCATTTTCTAATTATTTTATATGTAAATTTTAAATAACAAAGTATGTTGCTATAAGAGACGTTGTTTTTAAAATTTTACATTCAAATAATAAAGTAATTTTTATTGTTGACTAATCTTGTTTAAATTCTGTCTTTACAAACTTTTTGATAAACACTTAAAATTCATTCTTGTCATCAACCAAATCAAATATCTTTCTTAAAAATTTCATTCTGTAAATATTGTTATTTTTATTATTAAATTCACTGACAATTTGATTTGTAAAATCAACTGATTTATCTATAAAACAAGGTCTTATTGTTGATAAATGTTTAATTAAAAAGAAATCTCTAGTGTTATCACCGACTAGTTTTATTCTATCCCAAACTCTTTCAAACTGTTTTAAACATCCACTTATCTTATCCAATATTCCTATGAGCATTTGATTAATAAAAATACAATATGTCTTTAATATTATTGATTTTATTTTTAATATTTATTAAAGAAATTTAAAGGCATGATATCAGACTTTATTATATTTAAATCCCCACTGATTTGTTGTTCAATAAGTGTTTTTACTTCTTTAAATATTTACTTCTTATAAAATTCTTTTATGAACTTAAAAAACCTCTTTTCTAAATTATACTTTGCTAATGATACTGTTCTTATAGAAATATTATAATTATTTTACCTTTATATTCATTAAAAAGTAATGTAATATATTCACTAACTATGGCATAAACTCTCTTCTATAATAACATTCACTAAAGTTTTATTTAAACTGCTTTTCAAAACATAGTTATTAAATGATTTAAAAACATCACATCACATACCATACTTTCTGTCATGCTGCTTAATTCTATTAAACCAGTCTCAAAAACAACCTGTAAATATTTACTAGTGAAATTAGCTATAACTATGTTTTCATAGTAAAGTAATTTTTCTTCCTCTACTGGTACTATTTGTATTAAATTATTTATAGATACAATTCTATTTTGATCATTGTTGCTAAAAACGATTAAAAATACATTAATATTAAATCTAAAAATTTCCGAATAACCCCTTTCTTCTCTCAAAATCTCTAATTGGTTTTCTCATTAATAAAAATGAGATATTGTTTATGTATTCTGCTAGATTTATGTAATTATTATATTTATGATTAAAGAAACCAACAAAAATCATCTTTGTGTATCTATTCAAAGATTCTTCTAAAATATTCAAATATATCGATATAAATTTCTTTACATCTATTCTATATAAGTAACCAATTTTTCAATATAACTTGTTTTTCTAGTTTGTTATCTTTTATATTTGAATTAGTACAGATTAAGTAAATTATATCATAAACATTAGTTGTATCATATTGTTTAGTTATATATAGATAACACAATTCTTTGTACAAATTTACCATAATTTATTTTAAAAGTTTTACTTATGTGTTATTTACCTATTTTCATTTTAAGTTAAATATAAACAAAAAACTATTTATCTTAAAATTATAAAAAGAAATCTTTGGTTATTTTTTTGTTTGTTAAAAGAAACAAATTTTTATAAAAAATAAATTCAATATAAAATCAAGAAATTTATAACATCAATATAACGTATGTAAATAACTAGCAATTTTTAAATAATATTATAGGTTTGTTATTAAGTCTAGATGTATATACAGGATAATATAGAAAGAGAAGTTTTGACATTGTTTTTATTTTGGTTACTGATAAGTATAGAAATGTTACTGATATGGAAGCTATTATACAGAAAATGTATAGTTTTTGACATTATAAAGAAAAAAAACAATTTCATATGAATGTCTACTCAGCATTTGATTATTTTAGACATACCCATTGTGAAGAACATAGAAGTTTAGTTAAAAGTTTTTTTTAAAATAATTGACTATTTTAAACTAGAGGAAGTTTCTCAGTTCTATTGTGAGACATGTAAACAATTTTAGTTGTTCTTTATGTAAAGGGATAAATGTCTGTGTTTCGATATCAAATGTGATTATTGTGATAATGTCATGCAACAATCGGAATAAAGAGAGTTATAGATAAATTATACATATCAAGTGCCAAGATAAAAAATGCAGCTCATCTCTTTTAAATTTGATATTTTGAAGGACAGGATTACAAAACAAGATATCACAAGTTATTCAGAATTTGCTAAATTTATTTTTAACAATTGGATTGAAAACGATTTAAAGTATAAATAAATGTATTGGTGTCGGTTGAAAAATCTGAAGATAAAATATTTTATGTGTGGTTTGATGCACTTATTGAATACTAAAATATGTGGTTGGTTTATCTTGATTAAATGGAGCAGATTTTATACAGTTTATGGGTAAAGATAATATTTTTTTGATCATGTTTCTTGTACTGTTATCAGTGCTTAAAGAAAGTTTAACTAATGATTCTTTGATTAATGAAAACAAGAACTTAGTTGAAATTGTTTAAAATTTTGATTATAAAAGAAGGTTTCTTTTAAAAACGTAAAATTAAATTATCAACCAGTAATAAATTCAATTGTTTTTTAACTTTCAATGGGAAAGTTTAGTAAGTCAAAATCTATAGGAATATTTGGTAACAATGTTTTAAAAAAGGATATTAGTGATATTTCTAAGTGGAGGTTTCATTAATTGAGAAGAAGACTGGAAACTAAAAATTCAAAGTTTGTGTTAATGAATTTTTTACTTTAGTAGAAATTGATTTAGTTGCTTGTTTAGGTAATTTTGTAAATAGAAACTTAAAATTTTTATCAATAAAATGTGACTAATGAAATTTTTAAAGTCTAAGATTTAAGCCTTGATAAGTACAAAGATGAATTGTTATTTGTAAAGTATCAAGGGAACATGCAATGAATATTTGGAATATATGGAACAAATTTATATTAGAAGAAGATTTGAGATATTTTAAAAACTATGTAAAATTGGAAATTTTACAAGCTAATTTAGAAAAGATAATTTTAGTTTTTTCTTTATTTTATTCGTTAGCAGTTTAGTATGTATTATTTAGTTCTATTTTTAGCTAAACAAGTTTTAAAAATCTTTAAATAAGCATTGGTATAAAATACCGAGTTCCCACCAACCTTTGAAATATAAAATTTAACATAGAACTTAAAAACATATCATTGTATTTTTTTAATATAAAAAACTAGAAAGAAATACTTCTGAACTCTAAATCAGTTTTAGATCAAATTTTTTTAATTATTAAATATCATCAATATTTACTAGACTGTAATAATTTTTTTCTTTTCTAATAACAAAAATTTTTTCTTTTTTAACAGAAAAGATATTTCTTTTTTGCCTTTATTATAATGCTTGTTGTATTTTAAAGTCTTCCTTATTCATTAATATTTTGATTTAAACTATTATTTTTATTCATTAATTAATTATGGTTAGATTATTTTAGATTAAGTAGGTTTCTTATTCATGGCGGTTTTTGTTTTTTCTGTACCTCTTTACTCGGTTTAGAGTTTCTTCATCTGTTAATTATTTAATAAAATTATTGTTTGCTTTAAGCATAGTTTTTTAAGGGTTTCTATTTAATTTATAAAGGAAAAATAAGTCAACATTTTTTTGATTGTTTTTTTTAATTTGAAGTGACATAGGCTAAAATATTGTTTTATTATTCATTAAAATGACATTTTTATAGTTGACTTTTAAATGTATTTATAATAATTTTAACACAAAACTTTTGCTTTTTCATCGTAAAATTTAATTTAATTTTTTATTTATTTGCCTTTAAAAATACTCTGAATTTGATACTATTGATAATTTAAATTAAAGTAAAACTACATTTTTTGATATAAAAAGTTTGAAAAGGTTTGTGCCGTGTTTTACCCTAGGGATACGACCTGTGATGACATATTGTGTGAAGTAAGACTTAATCTTACTTGTATCTGTTGCATTGTTAATAGTGTTGTTGTTTACTAATTTATTCATTGAATATTGGGGTTAAAATTTAGAACAAATTTATGTTTAAATTTTTAAAAAAAATTTTTTTTAAAACGAATCTTTTGTAGAAACAGAGTTACTACAGTTTGTTTCTTTTATATAAATAAACCCCTAACTATTTTTTATTACCTGTGAATAAGTTTATTGTGACAAGTCTAAATTAATTTTTTTCTATTTTCTAGAACTATTTAAATTTTAATAAATATTGATTTATTGTATTTGACAATAGAAAAGAGATTGGCTGTTTTTTAATATTAAAAATTTTTAGTTTGCATCAGAGTATATATTTGTGTTTAAATAACAATGAATCATTGTTACAATCTGAAACAAATGATGTCGTTGTTTCAGAAAATCTTATAAAAGAAAATTGAAGTAAATAAATTACAGTTTATGAAAGATTTTTATTATAGAAATAATAAATATTATAAAAGAGATAGGAGTAGCAATCATAAAATAATTGTTTAAACTAATAAAGTTTTTGATTAAATAAATAATTTTTGTTTTTTTTTCATTTGTACATTAATAAATTTGTGTTTAATAAAATAATTTATATATAAAAACGTTTTATTCCTATAATACATCTTAAACATACAACAATATAATAGTTTTGAGATTCAAAAATAAAGACAAATCAGATAGTTAACTTAGTACTGTTCCAAAAATATTACCGTGCCAGAATAAAAAATAAATTTAAACCAGTATACAATGAGACTGTATCAATTGTCCAACAACCTTGTATTTATTCATATTTTTTGAAAACTTAATTTTTTTGAATGTTTCTAGAAAAAAAAGATTGTGATTAAACTAAAGAAAGAAGTTCTCAGTATTATTGTCCTTAATGTAGAAAACCAATATTTCAATATCGAAAAAATCGACATAAAAATATTCATTTCAAATGCAATAATAAAATCAATATTTTATATATTTACAATTAATTTAGGTTTTTAATTCACCTATTTTATAAAACTTTATACCAGTTATATTTATAATATCAAAAGTTCTTCTGACATACTTTTTCCATATTCTGATTTTATGTTTTTTCATTATAACTAAAAATTATAACCTTTTTATTTGGTGTTAAAACGTCAAACAAAATGATATGATTCAAGAAATAAATTTAGTTTTCTTCTTGTTTGAATTTTAAAATTATATCTAGCTTTTTCATAATTAACTTTTTTCAACTTTATTGTCAAATACTTTATGATTATTTACATTTATTGTTTAAAAACATTAATTTTTTATTCCTTTCAATACTTGCTTAATAAATTTCAATATTTATTTTCTTTAAATCTTTTTTTTAAAAATATGTTTATCAAATTGTTCTGTTATTTGTATCTTTTAAGATTTTATAAATGTTATTTTATAAAATAAAATCATTCGAATCATACATTTCATTTAGATTAAATTATTGTTTGTTTAATAAATATTTGTAAGGTAAATCAAATATAACATAAAGTAATAAAAAAAACTTTTTATTAGTATACTAACTATGAATAAATTAGTTATTATATAAAATATTAGAAAAGTTTTTAAAAATGTGAATCCTGATTGTCGTACCGTCATTTAAAAAAGAATATTTAATTTTAAATTTTGATCAATTCTTTACCCTTATAAATTCTATTAATAAACTAATAACAACGAATTATTTGAATGATAATAATCAACATATAATTAAGAATACATAAGAAGGGTTATATAAGCGATAACAAAACCGCTTGCAATTTACTGCTTTAACATTTGTATTTATTTTTTATAGAAAGAAGTAAGTTCAATAAATGTTAAAAAAACAAAGAAAATTATTTTAAATAAAATTTATTTTGGCTTGTTTATAACTAAAATTAAAACTTCAAATCAAGAAAGTAATTCTCGTGCTGTTATATTATTCACTCAAAATAATTTTTAAATAATTATTGATTTAAAAATAAAAATAGTTTAATGAGATCTTAATTTTTTGTTAACCTCCTCTGATGAGGTTTCTTTACTTACCTTTTTGGATTTATTAATAAAACGTTTTCCCATGATAATCTATTCTTCCTTTTTTATTTAAATATCTATAAATTCTTTTGTTTCAGATTGACAGCTATCATTATTATTAATAATAATAACACTGCTAATAACATTTTAAACTCTAATTTCCTGTTTTTAATTCAAGATTGTTTCTTAAATTATTTTTACTTTTAAAATATTATTATTAGTAAAATAAATGTCAATTTTATAATTGAAAGATTTTATTATTTTTTTAATTTACAATTAAGTCTAATTCTTTTATAAATCAAATTTTATTTTTAACCATGAATTTTTCGAAAATTTTCTTTGAAGTGAATATTTGCTTTGGCAAAACCTTTGTAAGTAATGTTTCACAGATAATTTTAGAAGAAGATGATAAAATTAACCAAATGATTGAAAAATATGTCCAATCAAAGAATTTCTTGAAAAAGAATGTACCTTTGGTTTTAAGATTACTTGAATCTAAATACAAAAATCTATCTAAAGATGGAATTAATATAATAGTAAGACAATTAAATATTAATTTTAAGAAAGAACAAATTAATAGTAAAGATCATTTAGATAAAGAAAATTGTATTATAGATTTTAATAAGTATATTTTTGCTGAATATCATACTATATTAAATGAATTTAGCGAATTGATAGTAACTAAAGTTAAAAATGATATTCTAGTTGAAATAAATACTGCTTATAATTCATCTCGTCTATCTAAAGTACATATTAATGAATTATTAGATTTATTTAAGAAAAATCAAATAGATATTATATATAGAAATGAATCTTTATTAGAAATTTATATGGATTTTCTATCACCTTTTAATCTTCTTAAATTTTTAGTTTGTAATTATCAATTTTATAGATGTCTTGTTATTCCTATAATTGAAGTTAAAGAAAAGATGTTAAACTCAGAAGTTTATAAAAATAAAAGTGTACTAAACTTATCTGAATTTGATGAAATATACTCTTATGAGTTCAAAAATTCTTTATGTCAGAAACTTGTATATTATTCTGGAATTAAAGTTGATATGTTAAAGAAAATTACAGATAATGAAAAATTAAAAAAATTTTTAGATGAGTTTTCAGAATACGTTGTAGAAATGAATATTTTAATCGAAAAGCACAATTATTTTAATAACAAAAGTTTGACTCGTTTTACAATTAACTCTTATATTTTTAAATATCTTGATAATAATAATGATGATGATTTAAAAAAAGAAATTCGACAACTCAATAAAAAGTTATCAAATTTCCTTTTTATAGAAAGTGAAAAATATGATACAGATTTGAGTTATTACGTAAAAAGATTTTATTATCTTAGGTTAAAAGAATATAATCCTTTCTTTTATCATAAAAACAATGATAGTGTTTTGGGGAATTATGTACACGTGGAAAAAGTACCAGATATTTACTGGTGCTATAAACACAATTTTTCCGATCATATTTCACGTGAATATGAGATAATTTCACTTATTTTAATCAACCCGTTATTAACAAGATATTTAGTTGAATTTTAATAAATTTCTTTTTTAATTAAATATTAGAATTTTCTATAAATTTAAATATTTAAATAGTTGTAGTATTTTTTAGTGATAAAAAAATTGTCAATATATTATAATAAAAAATAAAAGTATAAAATTTAATAGTGAAACTTTTTTGATTTTAAAAATACACTATCATTGTGAATTGAATAAAATCTTTTAATTTTAAATATCCACTTTCAACAATTTTAATTAAAACATTCTATACATTAAAATATGTAAATATAATCTATTTAAAGAATTTAATATCAAGATAGTATTTGTTGCATCAACATAGGAAACTATTCAAAATATTCTATTTCAAATAAAAAATAAAAATTAATTTAAGAAAATAAAAACCTATGATTAAGCTATATATCTTACAATAACATGTTAGTAACTTGAAATAACTAAGATTCGTTTTTTGTCTATCATATTTTAAAATTTTGTTAAATTTGAAATTTTTTATACTTTTAAGCATGGTTTTCAAATTATTTATAGAATTATTATCTCAATCAAATTTTTAAAGTTTTACCTCGCTTTTTATTTTAATTAGTTATTTTTAAAAATTATTACTTTTATTAATTATAAAACTTTATTGTGGTCAATCAGATAGTTATGATAATTAATATTAATCCAAGAAAAAGTAATTTTTTAATTTTATTATTTTTTATTATTCACAATTTAAAAGTTCTCAAAACTAATTTAATTTTATTAAAAAATTAATTTTTTTAGTGAAATTAATGAAAAATATAAATTTTGAAATTATTAGTTTTTTATGTTATCGAAACCTTTAATAATAGTTATAACCAGTTTATTTATTTTTTCTTAAAAACAACTTCTAGTTTCTTTATTATTATTTTTATTATTTACTCTTAATATATTTCCTCTATCGATTTATTATGAAAAGTAATATTTTGAAATATTTTATAAAATTAATTAAAATATTAGTCATTTTACTTCGAAATTCAAAACTTAACTTATATATAACAAAATCTTTAAAAAGATTCTTAAATATATGATATTTGTGATGAAAAGTAAAAAAAGTGTAAAAATTAAAATTATTCAAAATAATAAATATTAATAAAGTGTTTATAAAAACAAAAAACATATATAATATTAGATATTTTTTAATTTACAATAATTTAAATTTAAATTCCCTATTATATGAAATAAAAAAATGCAGCTTTTTTAATTATTTAAGAAATATATAAAAATTAAACAAAATAATTAACTTTAATTAAAATATTAAACACTTTTTGTTTCTTATTTGTAATTGAATATATTTTTATAAATTAAACATCAATTTAAACGAGAATTATAAATTTATAAAACATTTATTAATTTAAAGTCAAATTAATAATTTAAAACAGTTAAATTAGTTAATAAATCATTTTCAATCAAATTTTAGAAATTTTAACTTTATAAAGATATTTATGATATAAAATAGAATTGTTTAGAATAAAATTTAAATATTAAATAATATCTTATTTTCTTTTAAATTAAAATAATTCAAAAATGTCATTTTTTTAAATAAAAATAAAAATTTTATTAAAAAAATATGATTAAACTTAACAGAGAAAGAACGCATAAGTTAATAATTTTTATGATAATTATGATGAATACATTGTTGTTAATTGCAATAGTATTAATTGCAATAAATTATTCAAATGATGAAAATAATAGTAATTCTAATATTAATGTAATAGAATCTAAAATAAAGAAAATTATTGACGAGAACTCTGAAAAATATTTAAAAGTAATCGAAGAAACCGTAAATGAATTTTTGACCAATTTTAAAAATAACGTTCTTGCTAAAAGAAAAGAGTTTGATAAGAACACTGATGAATTTGATACTGAATTTAAAAACGATATTGATAATTTACTTAAAATAATATTAAAAATTTTGACAAAGATATCTGATAATATATATGGTTTAAGGATTAATTTGAATGAGTTTTTAAATTTGTTTTTAGAAAAAATAGTAGAAGATAAAGACAGAGAAATAATTTTTTTGAATAAAAACCTTGAAGAAACTACAAAAATTCATGAAGACTGTGAAAATGTGTATGATACTATAAAAAGCATGTTAATTGATAATTTGATAGAAAAACTTAAAAATTTATATTTTTCTATTAAAAATAATACTTTGGATAAAGAAAATATAACAATTGATATTTTAAGATCATTATTAGAAATCAACATAAATGAACAAAAAAAATTACTTAGTGATATTAAAATAATTCAAAAACATATTAAATATGATTATGAAAAAGAATTGGAATATAATAAGTTTTTAACTGAAATCATAAAACTTTTAGAAGAAGAATAGAATTTTTTACCAAAAAATTTCTTTTAAATTATTAAAATTTATGAAATTCTTTTGTTAAAAACATTAATTTTAAAGAGTTTGTTTTTTATTAGTAAAACTGTCTATAACATTGATTTTTGTTGATTTGGTAGTTCTTCATTAATTCAAAGTATTAACAAAAAACTAAAGTTTAAAAAAAGAAAGTTTTTCATATATGAAGAACAATATTAATTGTATTTTAAACTATTATAATTAAAATTACAAATATCTTATAAGACAAACAATTGTAAACATATCATTGTTTTTATATAATTTTAATCAACCAAAAATTTTAATTATTAAAAAAGATCATATTATTTTAATATGAAAAGAATTTTACAGAGTATTTGTTAAAAGTATAAAAAATTCAAATTAATTATTATTTTAAATATTTAATTTTAATATATTTTTATATAAATCTTTTGTCAATGTAAAAATATGTTTAAAATAATTAAACAGTATAATTTTTACTAAAATACATATTTAAATTATTATAAAATTTTTATTACTAAAAAATTACAATTCTTTAATTATAAATTGATGTTTACTATTTTGTTTAAATTATATTTAAAAAAAAATTATAAATTTAAACCAAATTACATTAAAAATGATATACTTGATATATTATTATTCAAATATTCAAAACACCAAATATAATGATTATATGTATAAGTGATTTTATAAACTTATTAAAAAACTATAATAGTATTATACTTTCCCAGTTGAGGTTTCTTTAGTTACTTTTAGTTTTATTAATAAGACGTTTTATGATCATTAAATAAGCCTTTTCAAATTTATAGTATGAAACATCTTTGTTTAAAAATGGTAGATTTCATCTTCAATGACGATTCTACTAGTAACAAATAAATTTTGATTAAAAAGAAATATAAATTGTTTAAGTAAATAAATCATTTAGAAATAATAAAAATTTTATTTTGTCAAAATAATTTAATTAAGAAAGTTTTTTTATTAATATTAAAAAAATGATTTTTAATCTATTAACATAATAAAATTATTAATAAACATAGTTATTTAATTAAATATATTTTATATTCATTTAATACTTAAAACTTCATAATTGTTAAGAATATTCAATTCCTTTATGGTAATGTCAAATTAATCCAAAGTAAAAATTTTTATAACAAATAATTAGATTAGATTTAAAAACGGTTTCGCTTTAAAAAAGAAATTGTTTTTTAATTAACTTAATTTAATAAATCATTATGATTGACAGCTGATATCAAAATTAATTATAGTTATACGTAATTTTGTATTGAAATTATTCTAGATTTTCTTTTAATAAATTTTTTAAAATTTAGTCAAAAATCAAATAGGGATTTATAAAAAAAGGAAAAATTCATCCTATGATTTTGATGAATATTCTATTTGTATTAAATAGTTGTTTTTGCTGTTATATAGTTAAAAATGACTATTTTGAAAACGAGTATATATTGGAAGAGGATGAAGAAATAACAGAAGCAATAAAAAACTGTGAGAATATAAAAATTTTTATGATAAAAAACGTGCCATTGATCTTAAAATTAGTTGAAAGTAAATATCTTAAAAAGAAAGAAAAAGAGGCTGAACAACAAAATTCATGTGAAAATTTAAATGATGAAAATACAAAAGAAGTAAATGAAGATAAAACTATAAAAATCATTGAAAATACAGAAGAAACTAATTTAATATTAAGTCAATTAACTAAAAATTTTTTTAACTTCAAAATTAATTTTTTAGAAAGAAACATATCTTTTGATGAAGTGTTGACTATAGAAGAATGTATTTATAACTTTATAAAATATTTAAATAATGTTGCAAGTAATGCATTTGATAGATATAAAATTTTAATTATAAAAAAAGCCTTGAAAGATAAAATATTCGAATTAGATAATTCAAAATGTTTGGTAAATCTTGGTTTTAGCTGTATTAATCAAATTTTTGATTCAATTTTAGAAAATCATGATGATTTTAAAACTTCTAAAAATTTTTCATTATTAGAATTTTATATTGATTTTTCAACGTTCTATAATTTTTTTAAAAACATTATTGAGTATTATAGTTATTTAAGACCCTACTTAAAATTTATGATAGAAGCAAGAAAGAAAATGTTGCATTCATATTCACTTAAAGCTCCAAATTTTAAACCATCATTTAATTGTGATGATGAATGTTTACCCAGAATTGAACATCCATATAAAGAGACAATTTTAAATTTATATAAAAAAAGTAATTCTATTATATCGGAAATTAATGAAAGTGAAAACATCAAAGATTTTTTTAATGAATTATCAAAATATTTTGTTAAACTAATTATATTACTTGAAAAATATAATGATACATATAATAATGAGATATTTAGATTTTCAATTAAACATTGGATATTTGATGATAATTATAATGACTGTAATGAAGTAAGAAAAAATATTGTACTTACATATTTAAAACTTACAGATTTTATTTTTAAAAGAAGTAACATTTTTAATTTATATTTTAATCACATTGGAACTACTTATGATAAAAGTTTTCCAGTAAACGAAATTTTATCTTCTTGTTTTAGAAATCAAAAAGTGTTCTTTAGTGGTTATAATAGTGAGTACATACACCGTTTTCTATCTGAAAACTTTAAATTTAAACACAATAGTTATAAATATTTTAATATTAATTGCCAATTTAATCATTTAATATTTTTACAATATGAAACATTATCGTATGCCTTGATAAATCCTTCACTTACTAGGTATTTACCAGTTTAATTATCAATAAAAACATTCTCTAATTATTTAGTTTTATGAAAAAGATGTTTTATTAATTTTAAACAGTGATAATATAAGTTTTTTTACAAATTAAATTATACTTTTTAATAAAATAACAAGTTATATTTAAAATAAAGTAAAATAATATAAATTAGTGTTTTTAATAAAAAATACTAAACACATTTTTATAAAATAATTTTTTTAATAAAATTTCAATGATTGTAAATAGAACAACAGAATATAGAAAGTTAACAAAAAATTCAGTAGAATTACAAACAAACAATTCATATACAGATATAATCAATCTATTATTAACTTTAAAAGAAAATTTTAAGATTTTAGATAAAACTAGTCTCTATGAAACATATAAGATAGATCCATTGGTAAGAAATATAACACAAGAGCTAGATAAACTAGCAAAGATAGAAATAAAAGAAATAGATGAAAATAATAAAAACATAAAAAGCTTTATAAATAGAAAAATACTTGAGTATAATTTGAAACTAAAAACAGTTAAAAAGAAAATCACTAGAAATAGTCAACTGTTGATAGAAGAAGAAATAAAAACTAAACATCCAAATCAAGAACAATATGAAGAAAGTACACTCATTAGAGGAAGTAAAGGAATTTCAAAAGAAATGATTAGAGAAAGAAAAAGAATTGTAAACACAATAACCGAAATAGGAAATGTTCTTGAGGATATCAATATCCACGTGTCATTACAAGAAGAAAAATTTAAAAGAATTGATGACATCATTGTCAATACAGAAAGTTACAGTAAAAGAATAATTAAAGACTTGGGAGTTATTTGGAATCTAATAAGCACTAGAAGACAGGGATTTAATATTTTTTTCATATTCTGGTTTTTGATAATAATTTTAATTTATTTTAGCAAAAAACATTAAAATAATTGTCATCAGTGATTTTTTAAATAAATTTTAAAATTGTGATTTTAAAATTAATTTCTTTTTTGAAAAATTGAATAAAGAAATCAATATTAAAAAAGAAAGATAAGAATATAAAAGAAAAAGAAACAAGAAATAAATTTTGCATCAGATTTCCCAAATCAGATATCAAATTTCGAAATATGGATATAAGTCAAAGTAAATGACAGTTGTTTATTTGTTGTTATATTTATATTTCTAAATATAGAAAGGATATTTAAATAAATACGAAACACGTTGATAAATAAAATGGAAGGAAATAACATGGGTGAAAAAATGGCAGTAGAAACAGAGAAACAAATGAAAGAAGATAAGCAGAAAGATCTACTGGGTCGGATCAATCTGATGGAAAGTAATATTAATGCGTTGAAAATTCAAATAAATGAAATGACAGAATCGTTGTCGACAAACTCAAATATTCTAGTGACGATCTCCAACAAGCTAGATTCAATAACCAACAATTTCAATCCCTTCAACACCCACCCAGCAATACCAACGAAAAATAAGAAATTAAAGCTAGCATATGTGAGTGGGTTTGGAAATATGAAGATAACAGATTTGAAGGAACGAATAGCAAAGATTTGTAAGGTAGAGAAGGTTTCAATAGCAAATATTGAGTTCATCCCAGACAAAGATTTAATTGAGATAGCAATATTTAAAAGTATTGTACCGCAGTTTATTAATGGGATAGTGATGCAACCAGACTTAGAGATAGTGTCTGGTAGGACAGTAATAATGCAGGATCAAACAGGAATAATAAAAAGACTTAATAGAGTAATGTCAGAGAATGTAAAAAACACGCATTTGAAAAGCCTTTACATTGAATTAAAGAAAGCACTTGACGCAAATGATCAAAAGGAAATAGATAGTTTTATTATCGATGAGTTTTATAAATAAAATTTATTAAACAAATATTTTTAAAATTTTGTTTGTTTTTATAAATAGTTTATTTAAACTTAAACTTCAATAAATGGATTAGCAGTTAGTTCTGATTGCATAAGTGAACTATTCTTTGAAGTTGTTTTATTACTTAAAGATGACTTGTTTTCATTTTCTTTCTCTTCTTTATTCTTATCTTTTAATTTAGATTTTTTATTTTCTTTATCATCAGAATTTTTAACTTTAGATTTCTCACCACTGCTACTCTTCTTTAATTTAGAATCCTTTTTCTTATCTTCACCTTTCAATTTTGTACATTCAACATCTCTCTTCCTTTCACAGTTTTTCAATTTAGAACTTTTAGAATCCTTCTTTAACTTAGAACTACTCTTATTATTTGACTTTTCTTTCTTATCATCAGAAGATGAACTCTTAGCTTTAGATTTGTCTTTTGAATCTTTCTTATCATCATCAGATGAACTTAATAATTTAGACTTTTCTTTCTTATCATCAGAAGATGAACTCTTAGCTTTAGACTTATCTTTAGAATCTTTCTTATCACCAGAAGATGAACTCAATAATTTAGATTTGTCTTTTGAATCTTTCTTATCATCAACATCTGAAGAACTTAATAATTTAGATTTATCTTTAGAATCTTTCTCATCATCTGAAGAAGAATTCTTAGCTTTAGATTTGTCTTTAGAATCTTTCTTTAATAAATTAGATTTCATCTCTTCATACTTTGTTGAATTATTTGAATTTGAATTATTTTCTTCAGGTGATAAAGAACTATTCTTACTTAATTTTGATTTCTTATCATCAGAATTTTTAGATTTTGATTTCTTATTAGAACTCTTCTTCAATTTAGATTTCTTATCTTCTGACTTTTTAGCTTTTGATTTCTTATCATCTGAACTTTTCTTTAATTTAGACTTATTTTCAGATTTCTTCTTTAATTTAGACTCTTTATTATCAGAAGTCTTTGATTTATTAGAACTCTTAGATTTATTAGAACTCTTCTTTAATTCACTAAATGAACCATCATAAGGTGACATTCCTCTTAAATTCATTCTTTCATAACCATCAAAGCTAATCAGTTTAGAATTAGATTGTCCTGAATAAATATTAGGATTTTCTACTGGTACGTCCTTATCATCTAATGAATTATTCTCATTCTTTAAATTACCATTGCTACTTTTACTCTTTTGACTTAACTTTGATTTTTCTTTGTGTGCTTCTTTACTTAAACCACTTCCTCCTCTCATAAAAATTCCTGCTATTAAACTTATTACAATAAGTGCTGTTATAATACCAATTATAATCAATATTATCTTCTTGTTGCTTGAATCGCTTGAACCTCCATTTGTATCGGCCATAATACTTGAAACAACCAAAAACATTTATAAAGCACTTTGAAACATGTTTCATATCTATACTCCGTATTATTGGTTAATAATATTTTTATTATTATACTTTATTCTTTTTATACTTTAAGTAGTCTATTTTGCTTTTCAAAAAGACTAATTTATTAAAATCTTCTGTACATTCAACTAACTTTTTTGAAACAACTGTTACATCTCTTCCTAATAAACTGTAAATGGTCTTTATGGCATCTAATCTATCTGATGTGTCTAATAATTCCATTAATATCTCAATCATATCACTGATTTGTTTATTTGCTAGTAAACTTAATTCTTCATCATTTCTGTTTTTTATAAAATTACTTATATAACTCTCATCTTTATTAGTTATTGCTTTAACTAGCATTGAATCATTATTTTCTACTCTTTTCTTCTTTGTTTTCAATTCTTTAAAGCTTATTTTGTTTATCATAACCGTTAAAAATTTTTAAAACAAATTTTCAAATTTTTTATTTAAATTCTTCTTTTTCATACAATCCACTTTTTTTCTTCATATTTTTTATACTCGCTCCTCCATATCGCATTTCCCACTTTTTTGTCTCTTCACAGTAAATTTTTTGTCCTTTCACTCTTTTCTTAATGCCTTTTTCTTTTGCAAATTTCTGCCACTTTGTTTCTTTAAACTCTTGTGTTGTTAACATTGGAATTTTACAATCTGACTCTTCTAATTCATAAACTCTCTGTCCGTTTATAATTTTACTGTTATTTTTTCTTATATTGCTAAATAACTCCTTTATACTATCTTTATCGTTCTTATTGGAAACAACCGTTAATAAATCATTGTAAATCTTTTTCATTTTTTAAGATAAAAAATTTTTAAATTTTTTAGTTTATTTTGATTATTTCATTTTGTTTATCTTCCATGTTGTTATTCTTGCATTGGATTATCCAAATTATATTCCCTATTTGGATTTCTTTCAACTTAAAATAAGCATATATGCAAGATAGATCATCAAATTGATTAAATGAATTTTTATAAACATTTACTATTTTAGTGAGAATTTCATTCATAAAATTATCATTTGACAGGTTGAATATTTGAACAACTTCTTCTTTAGATAAATTTTTACTTAATTCTGTTAATTGTAGTTTGTTTAGAGTTGTACAATTAGGAAAGTATTTAGACTTGTCTTGTAGATTAGACAAGGCTATTTCTAATATTTGCCTATCACCTTCTACTTCTAAAATTTCCTTAAAATAACCTTCAGAACTTTCATAGTAATTATTCATCAAATTCTTCATCACCTCTAAAAACATATTTGTTTCATTTCCATCAAGATCAACAAAGTATTTCTGAAGAGATGAGTTATTTATACAAACTGCTTTTATCTCTTTAAAATTATTGCATAATTCTATTGCTTTTAGTTCAGGAAACTCACCTAATTCATTAATTTTAATTTTGTTTATTTTATTAAACAAACTTATTATTTTATAATAATCTGTAAAGTAATTTAAAATTGTGAGATTGTATTTTGAGAATTCATTAATTTCTCTTTTAAGATTTATTATAAAGATTTGTTTAAGTTCTGACATTGTTATGTTTTCAGTGATGAAGGGAAAGTAGTGATTTAATCTTATTGTGATATCTTCAAATGTCTTACTGTTTTTAATAGTGGTGTAATCACTGTCTTTAAGGAGTAAATTATATCTTCCCGTTATGTCTGATATTATAAATCCTTTTGTGGTGGTCATTTAGTGTTTATTTGTGTTTTTATTTTAATTTAATTTTATAAAATGTCAAGATGGCAGAATGGCTAATGCGCTAGTCTTGAAAACTAGTCCCTTAATGGGTTATGGGTTCGAATCCCATTCTTGACGTTTTTGTATTTTTTCTGAAACTATTTACAAACAGTTTCAGAATTACTATAAAAATAAAATTTGTTTGTATCATCATAACTATTAATGGTATAAAGTATATAAAGATTTGAAAGGTTATAGAGATGATTGCAATCGGTATTTTATATGACTAGCGACCATATAAATACCAAGTATGACTCCCGTGAGAGTGATAAGTTAAAATACTTATGATCTCAAAAAGAGCAGATATCTTTAATCATAACAATGGCTAAAACTATTTTAATACTTTTGTATTAAATTCCTATTAGATAAATAGATTCTATTGTTATGAGAGGAATGATGTAGTTGCTATTGTATACTAAGATTAATACACATGGGCGGGGTTTTAAAATCATATACCCATAAGTTGGTCATATTAAGATAAATAAATTTATTTATCTTTTAATTTATTTATCTTTTATCTTTTGATGTTATTTTAATTAAAAATAAGTTACAAAAAATTTATTTGTTTAAAAATAAAGTTTGATTCAGAATCGAACCTTTAAAGATTATGTTTTTATAAACAATATCATAAAATTTTAATTCAATATTTTATACTTATTTTCTAAAATCTTATTTAAACTTAAATTATTGATTTATAAAATTTCTTTCCTTTTCTTAATAAAAATATATTAAAATTACTTTATAAAAGAATTTATATTAAATATTTAATTAATTGTGTTATAAAAATTAATAAACTTAATAACTTCGTTTTTTAATTTTTATTTAAAAATAGAAATAAAATTACTGAAAATTAAACTTTAAATTTTTTATATTAATAAAATCAATAATAATAAACTTGTATTTAAAATAATTATTATTATTTTATACAAATACTAATTATTTAAAGTAGAAATTAATTAAAAAGGAATTGAATTTAAAAAATATTCTGTATCGTTAAATTATACAGAATAGTTTCTTCAGAATAATATTAATTTTTTAATTGTTTTTATATTTGATATATAAGAATCAAACCTTCAAATCAATAGTACTAATAAACATTACTATTTACTTTTATTACTTATAAAAAAATTAAAATATTCATTTTTTAATAATTATATAGAAATCGAATCTTAAAATTGATAGTAAATATTATTATAACTATCATGTCATATACAAATTAATAAATAATTATTTAAAAATCAAATATGTGAATTTTCTAAAAACATCATTTAAAAAAATAGAACTTTAAAAACATTCAGTATTTATTAATAATATTAGTATGATTTAGGATAAATAATTAATAATATTTTTAAAGAAAATTATAATTTTAAAATACAGAATATTAATATATACACTTTAAACAATCATTTAAATAGTTTTTATAATAAAATTAAAGGAAATTTTAAAAAGATTTAAAAAGGAATCGAACTTTTAAGAAAATAAATTAAAAAATTGTTTATAAAGGAATTGAACTTTAAAAGGATGTATTGGTTTTAATAGTACCAATAGTCATTTAAAAATATAATTAAAATAAATTTAAAACTAAATGATAATTTATAATTCGAATCTGATTTTAAAATATTGATTATAAAATACTCAATAAAAGAATTGAACTTTAAAAGAATCTAGTGATTATAAACAACACCAGGATCCTTCTCTTTGTATAATAAATATTATTAATTATTACTTAAATAAAAATCAAATAACAATGATTAAATATATCTGATATTAACATATTAATTTTAAAATACATAATAGAAGAATTGAATTATAAAAGAATTTAGTAATTATTAACAATACCATACTTCTTTAATAGACATAATAAATAATATTTATAATTTAATAAAGAAAAATTAAATAATAATGATTAATCATACCAATCTAATCATAGCATATTAACAATTAAAATTTTATATTAATTTTAAAATACCCAATACAGGAATCGAACCTTAAAAAAACTCGTTAATTTTTACAAAACAATGTTCCCTTTTATCTATATTAAATATTATTAATAATTTAATAAACAAAAACAGAATAATAATCATTAAAAAAGATATTTAATATAAACAAATTAATTTTAATACTAACTTTAGACATTCTTTTGATTGGCGCCTTATTCTTGAAACTAACTAGCTAAAATTGATTGGCGCCATATAAAATTTTATTAAATAAAAAATTTTATCAGTTTGAACATATAGACACTCAAAGTGTTATTATTTCGGATGAGTGGAAAGCATACTATGGTATAAATTCTTATTTTTATAACCAAAACGTAGTAAAACATAGTAAGAATTTTATAGATTCAACAACTAGATGTCATAACAAGTTGATTAAGTGTATATGGAGCCATACGAAGCTCAAAATAAATAAAAATAAATAAGGGGTGTTATTTTGCTCTACCAAACCTATTCAAGCTTTTTTTGTCTTTGTTACTGACATAAAGGATAGAGCTTAAAGAATTTATAAAGTTATTAAGGAATAATTTAGGTAAATTTTATTGACTTTTTTATTTCAATTACAACTGTTACCCATTAATATAAGTTGTTGATAAAATAAACTATTTAAATATTTTTTGTTATAATAATTTATGGGGTGTTAATCCAATTTGCGGATTAAAATTAAAAAATAGAGCCTAATCAAAATGTACCTACTTTTAAAATGTTTGGCATGAGAATTGAACATTAAAAGAATGTTTGTGATTATTTAACACACAAACACTTTCACATTGGTTTATAAATAAAATTAAAGATTAGTTAAACAAAAACAAAATAATAATCATTAAAAGTACTAATTAATCTTAACAAATGAAATTTTTATCAATTAAAAAATACGTTATACAGGAATCGAACCTTAAAAGAACATACTGATTTTTACAACATGTTGTTCATTTATATCCATAATAAATAAAATTAAAGATTACTTAAACAAAAACAAAATAAGAAATTTTGTATTAATTAAAAAATACCTTATACAAGAATCGAACCTTAAAAGAACTCGTTGATTTTTACAACACGATGGTCTTTTTTTTCTATAATAAACATTTTTAATAAATTTATAAACAAATACCAAAAAATAATCATTAAAAGTATCAATTAATCTTCATATATTAACAAATGAAATTTTGTATTTATTAAAAATATCTTATACAGGAATTAAATTTTAAAAGAACTCGTTGATTTTTACAACACGATGGTCTTTTTTATGCATAATAAATATTATTATTAATTTAATAAACAAAAATCAAATAAGGATGATAAAATTACATATCGAATTTTAACCTATTTATCGTAATAATAAGAATTTAATTAGAGGTTTTGTAATCATTTAGTTAAATTTCTATTTTTAGAAAGAAAATAAATAACATTTTAATAAATTTATTTAAAAACATTTCGAAAAATATAAGTCTTCATGATAGATAGAGTGTGTGTATATATGAAGGAATATATAACTTTATTATAACAAATAAAATGTATAAAAAGTCAAACGATCTTCATTAAATAAACTATTTGTCAATACTACTTGTGGTTTCAGTAATATTAACAAATAAAATTTAAATTAATTTAAAAATACTCAACATGGGAATCGAACCTTAAAAAAATTCCATGGTTTAAACAACACTAAAGCTCTTTTGTTGAAATAATTAATAACATTAATAATTACTTAAACTAAAGTAAAACTTTCAACTACATAATAATCAATAATACTAATCTGATATTAGAATTTTAAAAATAGAAGTTTTAATTAATTTAAAAATACTCAATATAGGAATTGAACATTAAAAGAATTTCGTTGTTTTAACAACACTAAACCTCTTTTTTTCACTAAAAAATAATATTAATGATTTAATAAACAAAAATAAATAATTAAATTAACCGTATTAATCTTACATTACCGTTTTTATAAAAATTTTGTATAAATTTAAAAATGCTTAGTTAGGAATTAAACCTTGAATTATTGTATTGATTTTTACAATACAAACATCTTTCTTATGCATAATAAAAAAATATTTATGATTACTTAAACAAAAATCAAATAATATATAAACCTTTACATTAAAATTTCTCTAATAATTTTATTTTAAAATCTTCTATGATTTAAATAAAGATTAAATAAATAAGTTTATTTTTGTTATTTCAAATACTCAACGAATAAATCAGTTTATAACATAACAACTTTAAATATACAAATAAAACCACTAGTAAGTATTAATTTGCCTTTTACGTGACCAGAGAGCATATTTCTAATGTAATACACCGCTATTAATAATTAACAGTATTAATCTTATATTAAATTTTTTATAATTTTAAAATGTTCAATGCAGGAATCGAACCATAAAAGAAACTTTTGATTTTTACATCACCATCTCTTTTATATGCATAATAAAACAATATTTAATTTATTTAAACAAAAATAAATTAAATAACAATTAACAGTACCAATCTAATGTTATCATATTAACAAATAAAATTTTATATAAATTTAAAAATGTTTAATACGGGAATCGAACTTAAAAAGAATCTGGTAATTATAAACAACACCAATGTCTTTTATTTGGATAATAAATAATATTAATTATTTAATAAACAAAAACAAAAATTTTAATCACATAATATTATAGAAATTTTTTTCACTAAATTATTTTAAAATCATTTTTTATTGAAAAGATTTTAAGATTTTTTAAGAAAAATTTATAAAAATAAAATAATACTATTTTTTGTTATCTTAATAATATTAAATGAATAAATCAGTTAAGATTTGTATAAATTTAATTTAAATTCCAAAAAAAATTCAAGAAATCTTATTTTACACATTACGCAACTACAAGACATATTACTGAGTAAAACACTATATGTAATAATTTTATATTCAAATCTAAATAAATAATTTTTTATATTAATTTGAAAATACACAAT